AAACACATCGGTCGGAGATCTCCGGCTACTGGCCGCCCCGATCCTTCCCGTGCCGCCGGGTGGCCCAGGGAGCTGCCCGTGTCGCCCGGCTCTGCCAGCCGACACAGGCTTGTGACCGACGAGTGTCGGTGACCGAGAGCTTGCCCGAAACTGCGGCCGCAAACACCGTGTGCCCGAAGTCGTGACCGATGTTGGGAATCGTATTGGTCTCGACCAGGAAGAAGTTCGGTCAGACTCGGTCACCCTCGGGGACCTTCGGGCGCCCACTCGGGCAGATTTGTGGTCGCAGTTTCGGTCACTGCGCTCCACTGGTAGAGATGTTTTGGCGAAAGTCCTGGAGGCCTCGCGCGGCGCGCTCAAGTTGTCTTATCGAGTCCCCAGGTCCGCCCTGTCAGATCTGGGACGACGTTCGCGCGGCGATGTTCCGACGTAAGTCCGACGCAAATCCGACGTCAATCCGACGTGCACCCGACGTAGATCCGACGTGCATCCGACGCGGACCCGACGCGGACTCGACGTGAACCCGACGCAGATCCGGTCAGGCTGCCACGTGAGGCTGCCCCAGGGCCTTCTCACGAGAGACGAGAGGCTGCCTGAAGCTGCAGGCTCCGAGTCGCAACGCGGGCCGCGGGGTGCCCCCCGTCGGGGGCGCGCGCGACCGCGGCATGCCGCGCCGCGCTCCGGCACGGCGGCGCGCCGCGAGGCTTGCCGCCGCTCTCGCCGCGGCCGGCGCCCTGGCGGCGCTTCGCTGGCAGGCCGCAGCACCAAAGAGCCGTCACGGCCAGTGCTTTGCTGCTGGACGACGGCGACGACGACGACCACGACGACCACGACGACGACGACGACGACGACGACGACGACGACGACGACGACGACGACGACGACGACGACGACGACGACGACGACGACGACGAGGCTCCCAAGAGGCCCCCAGGAGGCTTTCAAATTGCCACCAAGAGGCCCCCGAGAGCGCTCGCGAGAGGCCCCGGGAAGCTCTGCATCCCCGGGTCTCCCCTGAGTTCCGGGCGTCGCGATGTTTTCACAATGGGCGTTTTCGCCAGGTGCCGGGGCCCCGGGGCCATCACAGGCCGATCGGGCTCGGAACGTGCCGCAGAGAGCTGGGGTCTCGGGCTGCCGTCGCTGGTCGAGACTTTTCGCCATGCTGCATTTTGTCGGCGACATCGGATTTCTAGGGCCAGCGACTTCTATCAAGCATCCTGTGGCGTTGGGTCCCAGTTTTTTGAAGAGACAGCGTCCCGCGTCTTCTTCCTCCTCTCCTCCTTCCCTCTTCTCCTTCCCCTTCTCCCCCTCACCCGTCACACGGTTCGTGACCCCATAGGGAGCTCCACCGAAGGCCCCAGTGGCAAGGTTCGCAGTTCCCTGTCCATTCCAACACACTCCTTGCGCATTTTGTGGCCCTTTAGGGAGCTCCACCGAAGGCTTTAGTGGCAGGGTTCGCATGCGGTTCCTCGCTCATTCCGGCACACCCCTTACACGTCACGTGGCCCCATAACAGGCTCCACCGAACGCTTTAGTGGCAGGGTTCGCATGCGGTTCCTCGCTCATTCTGGCACACCCATCACACGTTTTGTGTCAAGGCCTCAGTGGCAGGTTTCGTATGCGGTTCCCCGTTCATTTCGGCACATCCCTCACGCGTTAGTTCCACCACAGGCCCCCGTGGCAGGGTTCATTTCCTGCTCGTTTCGGCACACACCTCACACGTTTCGTGGCCACGTGCGGAGTTCCACCGGAAGCGCGCCCCAACGCGGTACTCACAGCTGCACACGGTTTTGTCCTTCGCCGCGATAGTTTTTTCCAGTCCGCGGCCCCAGAGGCTGCGAGGCCCTTCCCTGGGGGTAGTTTTTCGTCCTGGATCTGCTGTTGACGGCCAGGGGGCCAGAAAACGGCCCCCGTAGGCCCAGATTCATGAAACGTCGTCGGACCCCCGTCCACTTCTCTCTTCGGACGATGCCTGTTTTTGGCTTCGTTGGCTTCGTCTTAGATAATTTGCTTTTTCTGGTTGTTTTCCGTTTCGCGTTGAATTGCGCGTGCTCGTCCTGCTCTTGTTCGTTCTCTCTCTCTCTCTCTGCCGCTGCTCTGCGCATTCGTTTCGATCTGGTGGTGCCTCCTCCGCCTCCTCCTCCTCCGAGATCCGACGTCGCGAGCAAAAATTCAACTTCGAGAAAAAGCACAGCCGGAGACCAGACTTCATCTTTCTTGTTTTTTGTTCGAGCCTGACCGATTCGTGATGGTCCTGGACTCCAGAACTGGGTGAAAACGCTCCTCTTCACGTTGGGCGAGCCCAAGCCACTGAGCTGGAGCGTACCACGGATGAAAAAGGAATGTGCGAAGCCGGCTGAGGCAGAGCGTGAACAAACTAGGCTAGGCCAGCGTAGAAGACTGAACGGACAGGGCAGAGACAAGCCCAAAATGCGTGGCCCCAAAGGCTCGAAGCATACCTCCTCCGCCTTGCCCTTGCCCTCCCCCCAAAACGAAAGTCTGCACGGACGACCGGGCCCCAGCCCCTCTCCCGGAGGCCGCCGCGGCCTCCGCGGCAGCCTTCGCGTCGGCCTCGCGCGCGCAGGGCGCCGCCGCGCGGCCGTGCGGGAGGCCGTGGAGCCCCCCAGGGGTTGGATGCAGGGTGCCCGGGCCCCCTCGAGCTGTTCAGGGGCAGCGCTGGGGGGGTGGACAGGCTCAGGGGGGGCCTCGGGGCTGCAGGTTCGAGGCTTTCGCGCGTTTTCGTCGGTCCTCGGCGGTTTTCCAGCCTCGGAGTGCCTTCCAGCTGCTGCGCCTCGCGGAGAGCGTTCCGGGTGTGCCGGGAGCGCCCCGATCGGCCGCCGGAGAGCGGAGTTTCGGCCCGACAAGCAGGGGGGCAGTGATAGGGGGGATAGGCTCAGAGGGGCATGCATCGATCTCCCGTGTCGCCCACTGATCGCCGATGGGGGTCTTATGGCCCCACTCTGCCCATGAACGTGCGGATTTGTTATCGGGGGCCTACTGCCGATGTGTTGGCGATGTACCGCCGATTCAGGTCGAGGAGGAGGGGGAAGAGGATGGGGCATGAGGAAGGGGAGAGTGGCTTGCCCGGCCCGAGCGCGGGACATGCGTAATCACGGTCAGGAGTTTTTGCTTAGCATATCGCTCCGCCAGTTCTGGCCAACCACGTTTCCGCGCTACGCGCTACCCGGTACCCCGTCCCCATTTCTAAGCGTGAACGAACCGAGCTCTTCCTAGCCTCCCGCCCCGCGAAGCGGAGCGACACGCAATCCGCTTGCAAGGCAAAGCGCGTCGCCTGGGCCGCCGCCGCGACACGCTGGTCAAAACCGTCTGAGCGTAGTGCCCCCGCGACAGTGCGCCATCGTCACCTACACGTGAGGGTGGCCCTTCGCCCGACTGACCCCTGGTGCGCGGCTCCTGGGCGTCGCGGAGTGGTCAAACCCAGGCACGCAGGCCGCCGCTGTCGCATCGCATGCAACGATCGGCAAGCCGCCCACCCACGGCCACTCTTGCCCAGGGCCACTTTTGCGCGTGGCCGACCTCGAGGCGCCCCTCCGTCTCTCTCTCTCTCTCCTTCGGTCCTTGGTTGTGGTGGCGGTGTTGCTCGGTCCTGTCTTCCCTTCCCTGCCTCTGCCTGTCGCCGCGGCTCGACAGGCTGGGCCTCGACGGCGGGAAATGAAGTCGGAGGGGAGAACAGGGAGGAGGATTCGGAGGTGGGGCGCACCAGGGTGTCCGCGGTACGGCCGGTTCGGCTGCGCCGCAGTCGGTTGCGCTCGGTCGATTCGGTGCGGTCGGCTACTGTGTCGCTGCTGCGTCGCTTCGCTCTTCTAGGCTGCTTGTGGCCTGTCGGTTTCGGTCGGTCTCGGTTTCCGCTCAGGTTCGGTCGGTTTTCGGTTGTGCTGTCGCCGTGGACGGCCTCGGGACGGTGAGGAGGATTCGTTGGGGCGTAGGAGGGCCACCAAAGGAGCACCAGAACATTCATTTGGCATGCCACCATCAGGAGACGACCGGGGGTATCGTCGCGAAGTCGCCGAGGCGCCATCAGGGCACCGCACACCAGACAACCCTGAAACCCGCCCCAGACACACTCGACCCCAGACACACTCGACTATCAATCGGGACACCGCCACAAGTCAATCGCAATATCATCGGGACACCCTCGACATTTGATCGGCCCATCATCGGAAGAGCACCGTGTGGACGCCGTCCGCCAGGAAGCCACCGGGACATTACCACGTCGAGGTCGAAACGCATGGGGGCACATTCGGGAGTCCGAGATGCCATCGGTAAACCATGTGGACACCGCGGAGCCAGGGTTGAAACGCAACCGGGAGACTATCGAAACGCCGTCGGGAAACCGTGGTGGCGCCATCGAATTACACTCACAGAGACAAGTTCAGGACACCACTACACGTCAATCGAATTACCATCGAGACGCTGCTGGTCGAAACTCGACCAGGGCACCACGCGGACACCGTCGCGACCACCGCGTCAAACCGACATCCAATCACAGTCAAGACGCAACCGGGGCAGCAGAACAGGCCCCCCACCTGCGTCCCGGCCCGAGAGACAAGAGCGAAGCAGGAGCAGCAACGCGCGTTCATTCTGTGCAGAACGGGATCGCGTGGGGTCCGTCGGCACTCGCACACAGACACAGCTGCACTTCACGCACGTCGCGAGGCTCGAAACAAACGAGCTCCTGGCGAGTACAGTCTCATATTGGCCTCCGCGCTCCGTATCTTCAGTCCACAGTCATTGTCATCCGCTAGTAGCCATCGCCATTACTGCCATGCCATCGCAATGACCATCAGCATCTGTACCGCTGTTGTTGCCATCCTCGTACCTTTCTCTACCACCATCACCGTCTTGGTCGTCGTCGCCCTCGCCATCAGCATCATCATCGCTTTCGCAATCGCCATTATTCCAGCTTCTGTTGCCATTTTAGCCCAGCAGGCGCTTTCGCTGTCGCCCCTCATTTCAAGCGCTTACAATAGTCTGCGACAATGCCTTTGCGGAGCGGAGTCTGCAGGATCTGGAACGATGAAAAGGGCTTCGGCTTCATCACGTCTGACGACGGTGCCGGTGATTACTTCTGTCACAGGTTGGTCGTGGACGGGTCAAATCTAATGGCCTTCGGCCCTTCCCGCCACCGTGCCTGGGTTGTAGGTCAGAGTTCTCAGAGATGTTTCTTCGGGTGTCTTCGGATCGCTCTCGGCGGCCTCTTGGGAGCAGTTTTGGGGCAACTTGGGAGCTTCTTGGGGGCCTCTTGAGGCCTTTTTGGGGCCTCTTGGAGGCCTCTTGGGGCCTCCTGGGGGCCCCTCGGCGCCGAGGGCTCGAAATGTCCGTTCGGGTTCTCCATCTGGGCCCCTTCTTGGGGCGGTCTTTGGGCCCTCTAGGGCTGTCTTGGGCGCCTCTTGGGCCGTCTTGGGGCCCTCTTGGCCTCTTGGGCTGTCTTGGGGCCCTCTTGGGGGCCTCTGGGGCCGTCTTGGGACGATCTTGGGGGCCTCGTGGGCCGTCTTGGAGCGCTGGGGAGCCGAAAAGGCGAGAACGCCAAACACCGTCGAAAACCCAGGGACAATCAATGATTTTGGGAGGCCTCTTGGGGCGTCTTGGAGGTCTCTTGGACCGTCTTGGGGCCGTCTTGGGCATCTTGGGCCGATCGTTCGGCGACTCTCGGCCCTCGTGGCCCCTCTTCGGGGTCCCTCGGAGCCCTCTCTGGCCCGTCTTGGGGCCCGTCTTGGCTCCGAACAAGTCCGGCGGCAAGACGCGACCAGCCCCAGGAGGCACGCGCCAAGCCCGGGGAACTCTGAGAGTTTTGGGTCCGGGCCCCTCAAGGACTTCTCGGGAGGGAAGATTGAGGCTCAGAGGATGCGGGTGGAGGGTTTCTCCGAAGGGCTTAGGCGACCCGTCCTCCTCCTCCTCCTCCTCCTCCTCCTCCTCCTTCTCGCTCCTCCTCCTTCTCCTTCTCCTCCTCCACCTTCTTCTCCTCCTCCTCCTTCTCCTCCTCCACCTTCTTCTCCTCCTCCTCCTCCTCCTCCTCCTCCTCCTCCTCCTCCTCCTCCTCCTCTTCGGGTCGCCTACGGCCCCGGGGGAAACCGTGCAGATGCGGGAGAGGGCCTGAGAGCACGCCCACTCCGTGCCCAGAGGCACGGTGGCGGATTATCTGAATCCAGGCGACCGCGTCGAATTCACTATCGAGCACGACAAGGAGAGAAAGAAGTACAAGGTGTCGGGCTGCCAGCTCGTCGAGAGGGTGGAGGGCGGCGCCAAGGCCGTCGCCCTGGGGATAGCAGGTAAGGGCGTGGGCAAGAAGGGAGGCAAGGACGACAATGCTGGCAAGGGAGGCGGCGGCGGCGCCTACTCGCCCTACGGCGGCCCTGCCAATCCGTACCCGTGGAGAGTTGGCGGGAAGAAGTAGACCGAGGTGATAGTCCCAGAAGTCACTTGTATACCGCCACCATGCCTGGCCGCGGCCATCTTCGGCCCCAGGATGGTGCATAGACCCTGCTCGCCTCGGCGACGGGGGCGCATGCACCATGTCTTTGAAGGGGCCACCGTACAGTTCTTTGCCATCTCCGCAGTTCTGATACTCTCGCCTCTGCGTGCTCGTCCACTTCTCCGCTCTGTCTTCGCACTTCCCGCTCTGTTCAGTCTGCGCTGAGGTGGTAAGAATTCGGGTTTGGGATGGTTCGTGCGTTGTGAAGTTTGTCCTGTCAAATCGCTGTGGTAAGTTAGGATGCGCTTCCTGGGAGGTTAAATTCAGCATCGGCGCTGTATATCCGTGGTCGAAAACGAGCCAGCATGATCCCGCCTAGTCCGGTCTGATTTTGCTGAATTCAATTTGCTCCCTCCCAATCCGGCTTAGTCCCTGGCTGAATCCTGCCTGCTTCGGCCCAGTGGCCTCTTCAATTGGGGAACCAAGATGTACCGATACCGTTACTCCCCGGACATCTCTCAGGGTCCGTTCTGGCCAGAATTTCGAGGCTAATCCAGCGGTGGCGACGAGGGCACCCCAGGAGGCCCAAAGAGAGGAAAACGAGGGGGTAGTGGTATCTGTACCTTTTCCCCCTCTGATCAATCGGGCTTGATAGCCCCCCACCTCTTTCGCGAAGACCTCCCAGGAGTTGCCTTCTGAGGTGCGACGCGACGGCGCTCCCTCGCCCACGCTGGGGCAGCCAAACGCACACCGTACGGCACTGCTCAGAACGGGCGTGGCCAAGGCACGGTGGGTGGTGCACGGGTTCCTTCTGCCGAGCAGTGACAGGCCGCCGCTCCCTCCGCCGCAGCGAGGGCATCGGCAGCCGACCATCGGAGAAGAAACATCTGCATACGGGAACGTAAATCGAAGGTTCGGAGGTGCGCGCGGACCTCCGAAAGTATACGCCGATGCAGGTTTTTGTTCCTCCAGACCGGACGAGCGCCCATCCCCGCCGAGGCGGGCAGCCTTCCTTCGTATGCTCGGCCGCGCCCCCGAGCACAGCTCCCCGGGAGCAAAAACGCTTC